CATTGATTCATCCCCAATTGGGTGTTTCGCGAATTAGCCCTCGATTATTTTTACACCGAGGCCCATCATCATCATTGTTCCTGCACTCTGGTTTTAAATTACATTTATAGCTTAAACGGCAAGTTTTCACTCTTGTCTCGCGCGTTTCGACAAAAACATGTGCTTACAGTTAAAAATAAGTATACACCGCGCCGGCCGCTCTACCCGTGTCCATCCCCCTTATTATATAAATACACGTTCCAAGAGCGCGCGCCCAAAGTGTTTTATCATTATTATTATTATTATCATTACGCGTTTTTCATTTGTTTACTCCCGCGTACGTGCAAACAATAATATGCAGCATCATTTGTTCCAACGGAGGGACTGATTTCCGAGATGAAGATTGTTGGCACCTGCCAAAAGTTGGAAGAGGAAAACTTACTTTGAGGCATCCGCGGTGTACTCGATGGCCTCGACGATGTCCCCGAGGCCGACGGCGAAGCCCTCGCCGCTGTAATCCTTGACCACGATGTAATTTTCCGACTTCTGCAACAACGGAAAATAACCCCTGGTCATTTTTATATTATTTTATTTTATTTTTTTACTACATCCAAAATGAGGGAGCGACTGAGATTTCGAAACAAGNAACAAAAAGTTTCGTATTCTCTATTAAAAAATAAAAAATAAACGCTACCATTTTGTATATGTACAATTTTTATCAATAAAATTAGTATTACGATTAAATACGTATAATAAAATTACGTTTACAGCGTTACATTCAATCCACTGTGGTATTGTCGTAATTATATTTAAATAAATTATAACTTTGTTCATCAATTCAAAGTTCGAAACAATGTATTGTACGTGCCGATAATCGATCGACACACTGTCAACATACATCAATTTCAATACATTATACTGAATCATAAAATTTGGCAACACCTCAAGCATGTAACGTTATATAATTCATGTATACCTACACTTGTTTTTACGTGATCAGTGTGTATTTATGTACTTAATTACTCAAGAGAAAAAAGAAATAGGTAACATCTATACAAAACTGAAATTATTCATAACGACGTATCGCTCATCTGAGCTTTTTTCATTCACATTTAACCTACAAGGCTCGACTAACATTTTCATTATTGTTTAGGAAGAAAAAAAGAAAAAAAAAAGAAATAATGCGACTACCAAATAAAAAAACACTCCAAGTAGGCTCGTGTACCCTTACTTCGAGCTCGTGACAGAGAGCAAACGTCCACGTAACGCTCTGCTGCTCTCGCAAAAGTTTAGTAAAACGAAAAAACGCAACTTGCCGGAGTCAACGAATCACCCCGTAGTAAACAAACGAGTCAAACCTGGAGGCGTTTGACGCATCCAAGCTGCAAGCGTATTAAAGGTGAGCCAGGACCTCGACGGCGGCGACCGGAGGCGTTTGATCGCCGCTCAGGATGACGGGCTCGCTCTCGGTCTGGACGATCCTGACGAGGTTCGCGTCCTTCTTCGAGGGCACGAGGAGCGAGCAGGTGCCCGCGTCGTTCTGTCGGCCGCAGTAGCTCGGCGGCCGGCTCTCGCGGTTGTTGGTCGCACTCGTGGCCTGGTGGTGGTGGTGGGTTGCGGCCACGACCCCGGCGACCGGCGCGTGGTGGCTCGGGCCGTTGCTGCTGTTGGCCAGTTGGTGGTGGCCCGCCGGACCGGCGTAACTGCCGGTGTTGGATCGGTAGGTCGGCGGTGGCGACGAGGTCGGCTGCAGGCGGTCCAACAGCAGCAACCGTAGCCTGTACTCCTGCATGCTCGCCTGGAATTCACGGAATATCATTGCTGGCTATCTATAACATTTTCTTTGGCTTTTCTTAATCACTTGTACAAGTTATACATATATATAAGAGTATCATGTTTCACGGGTAAGTGTACGCACGTACGTGTGCATGTATTTTCGAGGGCAGGCCAATCAAGAGCACAGCGGTGTATCGCCTACACCCGCATGAATTTGCAATCAACGCGGTCGGCGATAAGCTGCTGCGATAAATAATCGTGCTAGTTGCAGGATGTGTACGTTTTTTTGTTTATATATTATTTTATTTTATTTTTTTACTACATCCAAAATGAGGGAGCGACTGAGATTTCGAAACAAGGGCAACAAGAGAAGAAAGAAAAGACGAACCGCGTTGTGGCGCAAAGCACTCGTTCGGCGGAAGCAAGGCGTGTTCTCCCAGCCGTCGACGAGCGTCCTGTCCTCGAGACTCGTCAAGTTCTCGAGGCTCGTGCTCGGCGTCACGAGGACCGAACAACTCACGCTCTCGTCGTACCCGTACACCGAGAACCTGTGGGCCAACGGCCTGCTCAGCTCAAGGGCCGACAGCACGTGCAGTGGCTCAAAGCGCCGGACCCCCCTGTCGTCGACCAAGGTGTACGCCATCCGGCCCCTCAGCACCGAGCTCGCCGCCTCCCGCGGCACCACCACCTGCAGCCCCTGCTTCACTATCATCAGCGCCGCCTGCGGCCTCCTCCTCCGACCCCCCGCCCTCCCGCTGCTGCTCCTACTGCTGCTCAAGCTCGCGCTGTCTCGCCGATCCTCCGATTGCTCGGACATGAGAGCCGCGCTCTCGCGCACCAGGGCCCGCAGGTAAAGGTCGCTCCCGGGGTCGGCCGCGAGTTTGCGCATCACGACGAGCCGCTTGAGTATGCCCAGGGAGACCTTGTCGCTGGCGAGGGCGCGGGTCGACTTGTCGTCCTCGACGATGCTCAGGAGGCTCTCGACGGTGGAGTAGAGGCCGAGGGCCCCGGCGAGATCGGCCGCCTCGAGGAGCAGCTCGCGTACCGTCTGGCTGCCCTGGGCGAGCTGCTCGAGCCTCGACTCGCTGTACTCGCGGACCGCCCTCACGATGGCCCCGGCGGCCCCTTCGCCCCCACTGCGGGCCGCGGCCTCCGACACCTTGGCCAGGAGCCGGCCCGTCAGCTCGGGGTCGTCGCTCCCGGTGACCATGCGCAGCGAGTCGAGCAGCTCGGCCGCGCGCTCCTCCTCGCTCTCGAGGATGATGCCCACCAGTCTCTCGAGGATCAAATCGTTGCGCAACCGGCGGATCCTCAGCCGTGACTTGGGCCCCTTGCTCCTCGTGCCGCCGGCGGCCAGCACCTCGGCGGCCGCCTCCTCGGCGAGGGCCGTTCTGTTGCTCTCGAGCAGCACCACGGCCAGGACCTCGTCGACGTGCCGCTCCGGGGTCTTGGAATGGTACGCGAAGAAGACGCGCAGGGCCTCGACTATCGCGGCGAAGACGCTCGCCGCCTCCTCGGGGTCGCACCCGTTGGCGGTTGGTCGTGCGTGCTCCGCGGCGAAGAGGAGCCGCCTGTCGAGGAGGGCGGCCACGGCCGTAGCCAGGGTCGACCTGAGCACGTCCTCGGCCCAATCGGGTCCGCCCGCCACCGCCGCCTCCCGCTGCTCCCGGGACCTTCGTCGCCTACGTCCCCGCTGCTCCTGACCACGATCACCTTCCTCCTCCCCCGTTTTGAGGGTGGCCCCAGCGGCGGTGATGGCTCGGAACTCTTGGCCCGCGACGACCCTGTTGGCCAGCATGGCGAGTATCGACATGAGTTGGCCCATCCGGAGGGCCACGCCGCCCCGGAAGCCGAGCTGCTCGGCGGCCACGAGGCCCGCGTCGGACAACCACCTCAGCTCGTCGTCCCCGTCTTGGTCAATGTGGTCGTTGTTGTTGTCGTCGTCCTCCTCGCCGGGGGAGCTGTAGCTGCCGGGGCGGCGGGACCCCGAGGACCTTCGGGGCGGTGGTGGCAGGAGGAGCCGTAGCCCCTGGACGGAGAACTCCTCGCCGCCCTCGGGGGTGTCGGTGAGGTCGGGGGCGACGTAGCGCGGGCCCTGGTCCGTCTCGACGATTTGCCCGGGCGAGAAGACCAGGCCGTGCTCGCTGCTCTCGTGCAGCCGACCCGGGACAAAGTGCGGCCCGTTCGGGGTGTCGAGCAGCTCGCCCGGCATAAACACCACCGGCCCGTTCTCGCTCTCCACCAGTTGGCCCGGTATCGCGGCAGCACTGCCCCCGCTCTCCTCCTCCTCCTCCTCCTCCTCCTGTTGTTGTTGTTGTTGAACGAATTCCAAGCCACCCGCGGGCGTCTGGACGATGTGGCCGAAGGTGGGCTCGCTCGCCTCCTCCTCGAGCTTGGGCTTGCGCTTCTTGCGGCGCTTGCGCTCCTCGTGGGCCGCGCTCCTCAGCTCGAGCTGCTTCTCCAGCTGGAGCTCCTCCTCGTCGGCGGCGCGCTCCTTCGCCTCGAAGACGCTCCTCGCGTCGCTTATGCCCGCGCCCCGGCGCTTCGTCGCCGTCCTCCTCCGGCGCTTGGTCTTGCGCTCGCTCGGGCCCGAGCCCTCGTACAGCTCCGCGAGCTCCCGGGCATCGGCGCTTAGCTCCCGGCAGCCGACCGACACGGTTCTCCGGCCCTTCCTCAGCCGCAGCCGGATCGCGTCGCAGTTCTCCGACACCTCGACCCCGTCCACGTCCCCGTCCCTCACCGCCGCCTCGAGCCTCGCCGGGAACACGAGGCTGCACCGGCGCTCCTCCACCGGGTACACGTAGCTCCCTCCTTCCTGTATCCCCTCGGCCTGTCCGGGAGTTGGCACGGTCTTTGACTCGAGGAGACACCTGAGGGCCTCCTGCTGCTCGCCGGGCCCGCTCAGTATCGGCACGACGTACCGAAAGTCCTCGATGACGGCGTGCCGCTTCCAATTGGCGCCGCCGATCGCGAGTACCGGCTCCTTTTTCTTCTTCTTGGGGGGGCCGAGGGTCACGGGTATGTAGTGATGGCTCGGCAGCCCGTACGACTTGCCGGTTATCTTGCAGAAGCGCTTGGCGTCCGCTGGACTTATCGGTGGCAACAGGGGAAAGTAATGCGGCTTGGGCAAGCCCCGACTCTTGCCCGTTATCCTGCAAAAGGACATGCCTCTCTTTTGTTTTTTTTTTGTTGTTTTTGTTTTTTTTTTTTTTTTTTTTTTTTTTTTTTNTTTGACGCATCCAAGCTGCAAGCGTATTAAAGGTGAGCCAGGACCTCGACGGCGGCGACCGGAGGCGTTTGATCGCCGCTCAGGATGACGGGCTCGCTCTCGGTCTGGACGATCCTGACGAGGTTCGCGTCCTTCTTCGAGGGCACGAGGAGCGAGCAGGTGCCCGCGTCGTTCTGTCGGCCGCAGTAGCTCGGCGGCCGGCTCTCGCGGTTGTTGGTCGCACTCGTGGCCTGGTGGTGGTGGTGGGTTGCGGCCACGACCCCGGCGACCGGCGCGTGGTGGCTCGGGCCGTTGCTGCTGTTGGCCAGTTGGTGGTGGCCCGCCGGACCGGCGTAACTGCCGGTGTTGGATCGGTAGGTCGGCGGTGGCGACGAGGTCGGCTGCAGGCGGTCCAACAGCAGCAACCGTAGCCTGTACTCCTGCATGCTCGCCTGGAATTCACGGAATATCATTGCTGGCTATCTATAACATTTTCTTTGGCTTTTCTTAATCACTTGTACAAGTTATACATATATATAAGAGTATCATGTTTCACGGGTAAGTGTACGCACGTACGTGTGCATGTATTTTCGAGGGCAGGCCAATCAAGAGCACAGCGGTGTATCGCCTACACCCGCATGAATTTGCAATCAACGCGGTCGGCGATAAGCTGCTGCGATAAATAATCGTGCTAGTTGCAGGATGTGTACGTTTTTTTGTTTATTTGTTTATTTATTTTATTTTTTTACTATTTTCAATTTGCCCGAGCAGCGTTTCATTAGAATGCAAGGCGGATATGAAAGTCGCAGTAGCAGGCTGGGGAGGGAAAATCCGTATAAAGGTATACATATATATACCTTTCCCAGTTTTTCTCCTCCAGCGTCCCCCTTAATATGCGAATTCTTTCGTGCTTTCTAAAATTTACTGCGCTACGGACGACGTCTTAATTTGAAAAAACAAAAAGACAAATATGAAAAGTGACGCGAGCACGTGCACACAACAAAGTTGTAAGAAAATATTTGGACGGCAATTACCAGTGCCCGTATATGTATATATATTATGTTACGAGTGTAAAATATTGTTCTTCGTGTAACAGAGCTGTAGCGCTCCCTTGGGAAATTTGCGTTTCCACGTTAGAGCATCAGTCTCCTCTAGCTTTTTTCCAACCTAGATTTTTTTTTTTTTTTTTTTTTTTTTTTTTTTTTTTCAGTACGAACAAAACCTGTTCTGCATACGAAGATACGTAACTTTAGGGGAGATTCGGGCGATCTTTCGAAACACGTCTTCAAAGTGCCCTTGTAGCTTCACGCGAAGAGACGCATTCGATGAGTTACTGCGAGATTGGGAGTAAAATTTATTCAGTTGCACGATTCGTGAGAGTGAAACGGTAGAAAATAATCTCGTTCAGTTGTACACATGAAGCATCGTGAAGTCGTTCAGTAATACATATAATTAAAATATGATGCATTGAGCAACCAAATAATAATTATACGTGTGGCGTAAAAGAAAAAAAACAAATACGTAACAATTGTTGCTTTTGGACACTTTATAGCAACGATTTTACATCAGGTGTAAGAAATAAAAAGTCGGCGTGAGCTGCAACGAAGGAAAAAAAGAAAAAGGCGTGCGAATAATGTTTGAAAAATAAAGCCTCACCTGATAGCTCGGTGGCGGCGTCCTGAACTGGAACTCGGGGTAGATCATGGCCGCGTAAGGGTGCATCGGCCGAGCGGGTGGTATTCTGCCAGAGATGCCGGGCAGTCCGAAGAAGCCACCACAGGCCTCGCGGCTGGTCACCCGCCACGCGACAGCGCTAACCGTCACCAGCACCACTCCTATGCCTGCAACAAACATTTATACAGATCTTCAATTGCGCGTATAAATTCACGCGCGAGTGACAACATATATGTATTATAAATAATATGTTGCACAGACTACCCCCCCAACCAGCTCGATCGGCGGGGAAAAAAATGCCTTTCCGTTCGCCTCGCTCTTTGGAATTTTTTTTTCCATTTTCAGGGTGCCCTTTCCTCCTCCTCCAATCGACATTCACCTATGTCCGCCGCCCGTCAGGACAACAACACCGCGCCGCTCGGTCGTGAAATATATCGTTCGGGAATCGAGTTATTTGTCACAGAAATCCCATCGCGGGGGGAGGAAAAAGGAGCTGGATAAAGGTTGTCAAAGTTTTTTAATTATATGGGTGGACAAGTTACGGTGACGGGTGTTGCGGGAGCGAGGGACGGGTGTAAGCGTACTCGGGGACCATAAGTTCGAGGATGGGATGCTTTGTTGAATAATTTGTTACGGAGGAAAAAGAGACGAGGGGTGCGAAACTTTTGCGGTCTGGACGTTTATTATTCGGAAGTTCCGAGGAGTTATTATTGTTTCCCTCGCTTGGGATCGATATTATATACGATGGCGATGGCTTTGGGTGTCTCTTTCATGGCGCTGTGGATGATTGCGCTGTCGGATGCGTCATCCTGTCAATTGAAACGTTAATTGTCACGACTGTCTGCGATAATCTTAGGTTCAAGTGACCAATGGTTCGGTACGCGCCCAAATTGAGTTACATTGGATTTTTGCTTGCAGCTAGGATCGAAAGTTTCAGCAACGGCTTTAGCAGTACCCAAACAAAAAAAGTAGGTACATGCGGTAAACCTGGTTTGTTTACAGATGAAAACAAACGAAATGAGTTCATTTTCCTCGTTGACGGCGGCGTGCATCATAAAAGTCATCGGTGCCTTTTTAATCTAGTGCGCGCGGAAACCGCAGCTATCGCGTTTCTAAAAACCACAACGCCATCCGGACGAGCCCCACCACGCGGTATACTAATCCATTTCTATTGGGTGAGCTCACCGTAAGTATACGCACGAGTCCTTTGGAAAGTTGTGCTCTCTAAATTTCTCGGAGCAAGTGTACAAGTGTACTTTGGAAGGATATTTCAAATAAAAAGGAAAACAATTTAACGGTACTCTTTTGTGAATTGAAATTAATTTTCAGCGAAACCCTCTGCTACCCACACGCGAATGGACTTCTCAAAAATGTATGTATTTATGAAAAAGTGTCACCAATTCGATAGAAGACGTAGACACGTCCCACCGTCTTGTCTTACGCAAAAATACGATGAAAAATCGTTGAGCCACACCTATACTTTACCCCACGGTTTGCTGAATAGCGCAGTTCGCGTATTAAACCCAAAAAAAGTGTCGAAGGGGGAGAAGAAAAAATGTGCACCTGAGCAGTTAAATTTTCGTGAGGCGTAGAGAGAAGCTGAATTCGAGAGGCGAAGCGGAGGAAGCGAATATTTTACTCGCGAGGCAAAACAGCATAACAATTCGTATATACCAAACGTGTCACGTGTGCACGTATCGGAGAAAAAAAGTCACCTATTGCCTTGCGAACCTTCCCCTCGTGTTCGGTCCTCGACAACACTCGTCTTTGTTTTAATATGCGTTGTGTGCTACGAATTCCGGCCTTTGCCCCGTGTTCTTTTTTTTCCCCCCTTCGATGACTTCTGCCTCGATAAAAATAAAATACAGCAATAAACGGAAGGACAGAGAGTCCATACATTGGATGACATGGGAACTTAACTGCGTATACCGTTACCGTTTACTTATTCATCGCAATTATCGATCATTCGAGATACCTATCCGTATATATTCGTCGAAGCGGAGAGTACGTAAATCTTGTCGGTTTCTCTCTTTTTCTTTATACCGTCCTGACATTTGTGCAACCTTAGGGCATGCGGGTACCTTACGAGGAGTGTACCTCGAGGGGATAATCGATATTTCAGGGATGAAAAGATCCCACGGACGTACGTGCGCGGGGTAAACCTACGTATTGGTGTAGGTGGTGAAGAGGTACGATTGGATTTAAAGCCATGGTTTTCGAGTGTATTGTATACAAGTACATAGGTATGTATAATGCCAGTGACACAATACTCTCTCCGAAGGGAGGGGTTGGGGAGTCCTTTTCGAGATCGAGAGAACAGAGCCCTTATTTTATTTCAGGAAAAAAGTATGATACGTACATTGGATGAAATGCTTTCATTTTTCTCTTATTCTTCGATTATTTAAACACTTGATGTATCATTGGTCCTTGCATGGACTATTTATTGGAACTTGAAAGTCAGTCTTTTTTGTAGCCAACTGGTCGTATTTTTTTTGCACTTTCCTTACGCGATTTATTTTCTCTGGCAAGCCAAGAAGAAAACTCATTCATACTCTATTCAAGGAACATATTGTAAATTCAGTGGCCCATCTATAAATGACGTGCATACAGTCATTGTTACAGTCACGACACCAACCCAAGCGTATGATTCCTACATCATATTTATATACATCTCGTTTTTAATCTTCGTCATCACAGTTGCAGTGAGAAAAAGACATTCTAACAGAACTCAAAGAGTCGCCCAAGAGAGGGTACATCATTCTTTTTTTTTTTTTTTTATGGGGAAGGGAGTAAAGAAAGACCAAAAACTCATTCGTCTCGTCAAGGATGACGTTCTACAAGTAAAAAAAAAAAAAAAAACAAGCAGGGGCTGCTATTAGCAGCTGAACAGTAACGCGAGCGCCGTCGTCATTGTCGCCCCTCCCTCCTTGTTTGGTAGCATGACGAATTTTTCGTCCTCCTTAGGTATGGAAAAAAAATTGTAGAGAATGAAAAATGCGGGTCGACCCTCGATTTCTCCCTTCCTCCCGCACCCTATTTTCCTTCATTATTCGGCGATGCTTTACCATTATATATATATACACGCTACTAGCCTTCAATTCAGATTCACATAGTCAACAATTGGTTCTAAATATATATATATATCCGTATTGTATTGGAGGTATAACAGAAGGAATACAATTTTTTGTGGAAACATTTTTTTGGCGGATTTACGACTATAAGACGCTGCCTATTATTCCTTTGATTTCTTTTACGAGATACTCTTGAGATTGTTTGTTTTTTTTGAGAAAAAGGCCTGCGATGAATGCGGTATCTTTTTTCATAGTTTGTATTACCATTGAGACGGATTTGCAAGATTTATATAAGAGACGTGGAAAAAAAAAATAAACGAATAAATGCAGTCTCATGTTTTAACAAAAGTGTACAACTGCAAATTATAATAAACTTTCTTTGGTCTGGTGAAATATATATTACAATGAATGAACGATCCAATAAATTACATTAAGCGCAATATCGACAAAGTTTTTTCCGTAATAATATCATATTTAATTAAACACATTATTTAAAGAAAATTTTAAATCAATTTAAATACACAAAGTAAATTCTAAGCGACCTCGTAAAAAGTTTCAATAAAAAAAAGGAGGTCTGCTTTGGCCCCCGCGTGTTAAATTTAAATCAGCGTGGGATACCTCTTTTTTGTTCTGGTACAAAAAAATACAATAATGCCCCCCTTTATTTCTCACGAAAAACCAGAGAGAGAATATTTATTTTCTTTTTTGCACATTGCGCGTAAGACTTTCCATAAGTCTCCTCTATGACAAATATAGCCAAGGCGAGAAGGCAAACAAGGTCCAGGCCTTGGGCGTACGGTAGATAGGTACACAAGAAACGAGAGCACGTGCGAAAGATGAAAAAAAAAACAAGGTGCAAGGAGAACTTATTCTATATATACACCAGCAAGACTCGAGAGTCCTCTTTTATCCCCTTGCTCACTGGCCCACCTGAATCTCGAGGACTCCGTTAGAGAGGATGAACTGTGGTTTATTTCATTTTAGACGGGAGGGCTCCCGCCCGCGGGCTGATTCTATTTTTTATTACTTTCTCGCGGCGTAAATTTCACTTTGCTCGAAGCTCGAGCTGAGAAAAATCACGCCGCGCGTTGGAACTGATTTTTTACTTTTTCCCGACTCACCTCGAAATATTGATGCAACGAGAAAACAAAAACTCACGCCAGTAAATGACACGACTCTATCATCGCTGTCGAACTTTCCGTGACTAATCAATATANATAATGACGATCATGATGCTGACGATGATGACGATTATGTAAATAATGATGTTGATAACGATTTTCACGATGATAACGATAATAACGACAATTACGATGATGACGATAATAACGATAAAGATAGTGACGATGATGATAATAATAATAATAAAGATAATGACCAGTGGTGGCGTTAATCACGTGGGTACACCGTATAAATATACACACGAACGAATGAGAGTAAACGCGAGCTGCGTGACACGGCTCATAAATTCTCGTACGTAGAAGACCGTTGTCCATTCATCCGTTCACAAAGACACGTATGAGCAGTAAAAGCGCACCCCCCTATTGCCGCGCCCGAAAATTCAAACCGTAAATGTATTGTGTACCAGTGCAGTGCTCCCCCCGTGCACTGTCCTTCCTTTCACTCGACGTATCATACGCTCGCTCTTTTCCTTGCTCTAATCTCACTAAAAGCGTCAAAGAAACCCATGCGGCGTCCCGACTCGCGCGTCGACCCACCCTCTCTCGCCGAAAAGAAAAAAANTTGCAGTCAAAAAAGCGAATGGCAAGTTACACACCGAACTGAAGGACGAACGTATTTCACGAGGAAATAAATTAAAAAAAAAAAAAAAAAGAAAAACGAAAAATGTAATAAAAGTGCATAAACACAGAAGAGGAGTGGCTCAAAGCGACGGAAGCGCAAAAGAGCAAGCCGGAAAAAGTGGAGAGAAGGGAAAAGGAGTTCAAGCAGGATCGTATTGAAAAATATTGGACGGGGATGATTATGAAGTCAACAAATGTTGGTTTTTTTCCCCCAAGTCAGTGATGCACACTCGTCGAGTTCGGGGTGAGGGTGGTCCTATTGTTTCACACTGCGGAAGGTATGGCGTTAATGAA